GGATCACGGCTTCCCACCCAGCCAGGCCCACTGACCTACACCCATCACCTAAACACTGGCACACCTCAATACAGGCTGAGGAGGGTGCAGGTGCCGGTGACGAAGTGGCGATCGACAACGGCGATTCGGCGGTGCTGCTGCTGCGTGCGCTGTCGACCCAGGACCCTGAGGTTGCCGCCAAGCTCAAGGGGGGCGGCGGCCTGCTGCGGGCCAGGAGCTGCGCCATCATGTAGTGGCAGGCGCGTGGTGCGCAGGCTGCAAGCTTGATGACTGCCCGTATGACTGCAACAAGACCGCCAACATTCTGCGCGCTCAGTGTACGTGGCGAGCGCCATCTTGACACGACGGCAACCCATCACAATCCTGGCCTCGTTAAGAACTGACAGTGCATGTTGTAATGCCACTGAATGCATCAAGGTTCATGCCAAACAACCTTCCGGACGTGTTCAGAGGCCAGGCACCGCGCATCAGTCAGGCTGTGCCAGCTGCATCCACACGGCATCGCGGCGAGGAACGAGGACCAACTGCTACTAGGCACCAATCGCTCGCATTGCCAGACCAAGCATGTCCACAAGTATAAGGGCTGGGCCCGTGATCCTGTAGACATGAGACGTCATGCTTCGCGGCCGCCGTTCCACAGAACCAACCAGCGCAGAACCAACCAGCGACGCGTCCACCCCTGCGCTCACTCGCTGCTGCCACCAAGGTCACTAGCGGTGTATCAGGTGTGCGTTGAACGCTGAGAAAACAGTTTGCAGGGCCCGTCCACGCACAAGGGGCGGGAACTGCCCAACGCCACAGTGATTCGACCCGGGTGACACTCTCCCAACCGCGTTCACGCTCGCTTTAACGGCGGCGCGAGCAACAAAATGTTCGTTTCTCCAAACTTCACGATCGACGACGGCCACGATGAAGGTGGGTGCTGACGGAGTTGGGTGTGACCCGCCCACACCGTCCGCTGGTTGAGAGCCACGGGTCGACCTGACGCACCCATCAGGCTGTTTCATCACACTGGAACACCTCATCGCGCTCTTCGCTGTCTCTGGGGCGCCCCACACTGCAGGCGACCGTGCTCTTCGTTGGCCTGCTGGTGCTGAGCACCGTGGCGCTGTCGGGTGAGATACAAGCTGGAGTGCTAGCCACTTGAACACGCTGCCATTGTTTCTTGAGAGGGTGTCCACTGCCAGTGCTGGCAATTTTGGCCCCAGGCGCAGGCAGCAGCGTCGGCAGCCGGCACTCACTGCAACACCCTCCCGTTGGGCTGGGAGTCATCCACCTCAAACCCACATGCAACCCCTACCCGCTGGCGTGTTTACCATCTGCCAGACGCCCAGGGCGGTGGCGGCGGCGGTGCCGCCGCCGCGGCCCCTGCCAACGCTGCCCCGGCCACGGGCGATGCCCCCGCGGCCAAGAAGGCCCCGGCACCCAAGTGCGAGTGCCCCCTGCCTGCGGGCGGCGGCGGCTACTTTGGCCGCGGTCAGGACTTGGTCAAGGCCGGCTGTGACTGCCAGAACGCGTGAGTACGGGGCCTGTTGCAGCGCTGTCTGTGCATGCGGCTGGGCCGGCTTGCTAGGTCGACATCAGCACGTCTGATCACTTGCCTGACAATGTCTGAAGCACAGGCATCACAAGGCTGCTTCAAGACCCCATGCCTTGATAACCCACCTAAACCCTCCTCGCTGGCTGTGTCTCACAGCTGCGAGTTCAGGCCGTCGCCGGCTGGCCCCAAGCCCTCATGCGCCACGGTGTGCAAGTGCTCCAACAACGTCAATGTGCAGACTTTCAACCAGAACAGGGGCCCCCTCATCCTGCAGCCCGGCCGCCAGTGAGTGCCTCCATGACGCCCATTCCTGAACTTCTGCAGGGACGCACTGTGCTGCCCTGCTCATGTCCCGGCGTTGACACGCTGCTGTCGGCACACAGGCTGCCTGCGCTAGCCTGCAGTGCAGACTCTGTCGGCATTGCGCCGACTCAGGCCCCCTCTTGGGCCCTGCCCGGGCTGTCATCCCTACCTTCGCAGGAGTGTCCCATGGCTTCTTGGCCGCAAGCTCAAGACTGGCGACAAGGTTTACGTCGAGCTCTAAGGGCCCGCGTGGACGCCGGCCCGGCTGGCGCCCCTGCGGCCATGGAGAGCCACCAGACAGTGGTGGTGCCCCTAGTGCACAGCACGCCTGCGCACGACGCCCCTCGGCAGCCGACGCCGCGCGACAGCCATTCGTGATGCTCACTCCTTGCAGCGATCACTATTTCATGTGAGGGGGCAAATTCCATGCCCTCACCTGCATCGCCTTCCCACAAGGCAGTGTGTGCAGCAGTGGCATGCGCACCAGCACACCCTGTGGTTGTGCGCTGTGCTATGCCAACCGGCGCTGCTGCAGGCAAGCCAGGTCATGACATTGCTGATCTTTGCAACCGTATGTGTAGAGCTGGCACATCCAAAGCAAGAGGCCGGATGACAGTGATGGTGGCGCACGGCTCCCATCTGCATGCGTGTTGTTCTCAAGGACATGCACTTCTCCTGTAAGCCACACACTGCCACACAAAGGACAATTCGCACGTATATGTCAGCACATGCTGACAGCGATCGGTCAAATGAGGCAGACCGCTTGCCTAGCAGTACCAGGCTGCACAGAATGCGCGTCGCACATGAGTAGGGGAGGGCAGAGGTCTGGCTGCCAGCATAGTAGAATTGAAAACCTAGGCGCCAGTCCAGGGAGTGGTTGCCAAATGCCTGGAGACTGTGGTTCGCGTGAACGCGCAGTCTGATGGCCGCTTGTAAAGCATGTCGCCGTGCCCCCCCTCTCCGCCCCCCCCCCCCTTGGCAGCATTTTAACAGAGCGAGCTTGCAAGCGCAGCAGATACTGGCCTGGGCAGCTGTTGATTGCTTTTTTGCATAGAAGACCCGCTGGCTCCATACCAGGTGACGGTGGCTGGCTCAAAGTACTACCAGTGGTACTCTGAGCTGCCCTAATACTTTGATCTGCAGGCATCAGCAGCAGTACCGCAGCTATATATCCCACCCTAGGGTGCCCAACGCACTCCCCTCAAGCCTTGCGCACAACAGGCACTCTTCGCAAATCAAACTAGTTTGTGTTAATAAAGACTGATAGCTGCCAAGGTATGAGCGGAGGGAGTTGTGCTCGGCGCCCCATAGGACATGATCGGAGTTGGTCGCGGATTGCCCAGGTCTTCACAGATGTTGATGGAGTTCTGTGGTGGCGTGCGCGGCGAAGAGCTGCACCGGAGCCGGTCTTGCACTCAAAGCGACTAGGCTTGCCCAGCGGGCGCCGCCCGCTGGCTTGCACAGCAGGCGTGGGCCATTGGCCGCGCTAGTGGCTAGTGGGGCTGAGTGCAACCTGCCTGTCGATAGGCTTACAAACGAACAGGGGCACCCACAGGCCCTTCTGGGCATCCGTGCGCAAGCACACACCTGGAGAGAGCGGTAAACAAAAGTAGAAGCATTACAAACAGCCAGCTGCTTGAAATCCACTTAGCACAGTTCAAAGCTGTGCGAAAGAACCAGTATTCGCCCCTTTGGTTTGGTTCACAACCATCCATCCGCAACTGCACGTCGTTGACTGGGTTGGTGACGGCAAGAAACCCAGGAAACGACTTGTCAAGGGCTACAATTGGGGCGTTGAAGGACAAAACCCTGGTGTGCAGGTGTTGCACGAGGCAGCTGTTGGTAGGAGCGCGTGCACAGAAAGCAGCAAACTGCCCTTGGTAGGGGCGGGAGTGGAGCTGACCTACATACACGCTACATCGGGACCATACACGCTACAAAACTCTCAAGATTTTGGCTTTGTTACTCTCATCTCTTGCTATAACAATTTATACGGTATGTTTAGTAGAAAGAATTGTCGGCAACTCTTTCTGCTGAACATACCGTTGAGCAACACACATGCAGATTCACATACAAGTACACCTCAAACTACCTTGGAGTCGTTGTCGGCCGTAATTGTCTCATATGTAATTTGATGAGATCAATCCATTTCATGCCTCTGCAGGGCCCGGGTCTGGCTGCAGAGCACGTTACCACTTACCAGGCCCCTGCCAAGGTTTTGCAGCAGAGCACTTGGGGATTGCAGTCCTCCAGCAAGCGAGGCTGGCCGCTCACCACACTCGAATGGGGGCGTGCGCAATAATTCCCTGCTTAATTATTACCTGCTGTGTCTCTAATGAGGCGAAACGTTGGCTGAAATGGATGATCCACGTGGAAGGTGGCATCTTCCCCACACTCGGTGCTTGCAGTGTGTGCCTCTTTAATGAAACTTCACAAGGGCTGAATTCAATGACAATCAAAAGTTCCAACTTACTAAACCATTCAGACACAGACTACCAGCCCACTGTTCGAACGCGCTCCCAGCCAAAATTGCAGACCGCCTTCGCCGCTGTTGGCATTCAACTGCTGAGATTACATCTTCCCAGCATATTATTAGCCCCACACGGCACTGATCCCGGCATAAGTACTTGTCCCTTGCCAGTCCGACGTCCCGCTTGCCTGATATCGGCGCTTCACGCGTGATGGATTTTCTTGGAGAGCAGCCGGTTTGCGAGCAGCCGCGCCGCAGGCGGAAGCTGAAGCTCAGGTGCGATGGCGCTGCTCGTGCTGCGAGGCGCATGCTGTTGCTCAAGTTGAGGGGCGCGCATCGCTGCGCCCCCGTGCGCAACACGGCACACGCATGTTGCAGCGTCACACCTCACTTGAAACAAACGACCGTTTACTCATCCTTTCAGGAGCCTGGAGGTCAGCACAGTGGTGCACACAGTCGCGTTTCTGTGGTTTTTGCGGGTCTGGCTCTGGCACCTGACGCCCGCAGCATCAGTTCTGCCCGGTGCCCAGGGCTGGGGCTGGTTTGTGCGTTTCCTGACGTTCTACTCCTACACCCTCCAGACCTTCACCTTGGGCCTCGCCGCCGCCGATGATTGGAGCAAGCTGGTGCGCTTACTGTTATTTGACATGCAAAGCACGGGTTGGGTGGGGGATTGTGTGCCAAGGCGTGGCGGCATCCATCTGGACCCTGGCAAGCTGCTGGTGTGGCGGTTTGGGGACGGCTGGCCGGTGACTTGGGCTGATGCGCTACTGGCGTCTGTCTCCAGCACAGGCAGCTGGGATCCGTGCGCATAATTCCAGTTCCGGGCAAAGCCGCGCAGCCCTCATCACCCCCACCCACTTTGCCTCCCCCCAAAACCAACAGCTGACGGGGCGGCCCGCGTCGCGCTTTACGCGCCTGGCTGACGACCTGTCTTCGGCCGTGTTTGCTCTGGCCCACGTGGTGACCATCATGTTCTACACCATCCAGACCGCCACCAAAAAGGTGGTGGAGGGCGACGTGGAGCGCCCCTACTGGCTCAACTCGTCCGTCCACCTTTACAACACCTTTGCAGCCTGGGGGGACCTGCTCACGGCGCACCGCAGCTTCAGCCAGCGCAGCGAGCGCATGTCAACCGCCATCACGCTTGCCTACCTCTGCTACATGCTGCTGTGCAAACACATGAATGGGTGAGGGGCGGGAGTGGGCTCGGGCCGCTCCTGTCCATGGGCTTCAGTTGCCTCGCATCCCCGCACTGCCTTGCGAGCGAGGGCCTCGGTGCAACGCAGAGCGCTTGTTGATGCTGGCACCCCCTGGCCCTCATGGAATGGCCTGCACGCAGGTCCTTATCTTGCTGACCATCCTCCCCCTGCGCCCCCTTGCCCCCACCC